AAGAAAACAGGGTCTACTATCGAATAATTGGAAGAAATATCGTGAAATAATTATTATCCAATGGAAACCCTCTGCCAAACTTTAGTAGACGGGGTGCTGGCATGATCAAATTGCTCACCCAAAAAAATATATCAGAAATAAGCATATAAATTATGTATATTGGAATAAACTCGAAGAATTGATTGATCGCTTTCGATTACTTTGGAGTTCACGAGTGGCTGGTCATACCTGCCACGATAATGAAATATTGGCCATAATTGAGAAATTACGTGAAGAAGGATTAGTCTATTAATCACAAAGTCATAAACACAGAATCAGTTTGTGAAACTGACTCATCACTAAATGATTTGAGGAATGTGGAAATGTGAATTAGCGTTATAACTGAATTGATTGATACTTTTACTGAGCGAGTTGATGAATTTGAAACAGTCATTCATTAAACCTGCACTTGAACAGTAGAGAAGTGAATCCTTAACATAATAATGTAATATGAGTGATGCAAAATGGGAGATTGTGAAAGAAATACATAAGCCAGCGCGTCGAAATTTTCCCCGTCGAAAGACAATAATAAAGGGATTTTCGGACTTGTGGCAGATGGATTTGATGGAAATGCAATCATATGCTAAAGAAAATAACGGTAATAGATACATACTCATAGTAATCAATTGTTATTCAAAATATGTATGGTCAAAACCGTTGAAAAATAAATCTGCTGATTCAGTTACTGCAGCTATGGCAAAAACTGTTGAAAGATGCAAAGCATGTGCCGAGAAACTAATCTGATCACGGTAGTGAGTTCTATAATTCAAAATTTTCATCGTTAATGAGGAAACACCATATCAATCATTACTCAACATTCAGGACAAAAAAAGCTTCAATTGCCGAACGAGTTATGAAAACTTTGAAAAGTTGGCTTTATAAACAATTTTCACTTCAAGGTCATTAAAAGTGGTTGAAAGTTCTTCCTAAAATCACCAATCAATATAACAACAAAGTTCATCGCACCATTTGCATGAAGCCTGCAGAGGTAAAATCATCTACAAAATTGTTCGTTTATACAAAATCTGAGAAGCCATATGGTAAACGTGAAAAAAGTCAATTCAAAATTGGAGATATGGTTGCGAATTAGTAAATTCAAAAACGTATTCGCCAATGGTTATACTGCAAACTTCACCACTGAACTTTTTAAAGTTGTGAAAATTAATAGTACAGACCCTATAACTTATGAGCTAGAAGATGTGAATGGACATCCAATCAAAGGTTGCTTTTATAAAATGGAGTTGAATAAAGTGAAAGATCCCAATACATATTTGGTTGAACGAGTTTTGAAAAAGAAAGGACGTCGCCTATTTGTGAAATGGTTGGGATTTTCTGGAGATCATAACTCTTGGATTGATGAAAGTTCATTAATGTTATTGCAGTATTATTGTTCTTGATGAAAAATAAAGATATATAAATGAAATTGAATTTTTTTTAATTTATAATGAATTTGGGTTCTATATGGTAAAAAAACTTGTAATATTCAAGCTGATTTTATTCATCACATTTATATCTATTAATGCATTTGTTTAATTATTAGCGTTCGTTGTGATAGGTGGCACCATAACCAATGGAATGTATGATTAAATAACGTTACCATAGATTTGTAGTCTCCTCATTTGATCTTCTCTCTCCAACAATCCCGGGAGTGAAAATTCTCATCGGGATGGAAATCACCAACATTTTCACATAATATCCATCCACTTCTACACATACTACATACATTTTTCCAACAATCTACTTTGTAGTTATCACAACGCATACAACGTTGAATTAGTAACTCACGATTTGCTGCACAATTCACACACATATTTCTACAAATTCCCATATTGTTATACACAATTTTGGTAAAACATTTGTAGCACTGATGATGGACGCATACTTCAGGAGATGAATCATTTGTCGTCTTCAGAATTGTGATTGGACTTGGAACTGGAACTGGATTCTCCAACACACATCTACGACACAAACCAGTACATGGATTAATTTACGTCTCAGGCCAATAACCTTGACAATTATTGCAAAATATAGTTTTATTAATTTTGATTGGATCGCCATACGCTTTCGGTTTTGAATTCCATTCTTTCGGAAAAGGCATATTAGTATTCACTATTAGATGGTGCAATATTCAACTGACAAATTCAACTGCACTCTCATGAACCTATTTTTCCTATCATAAACTCATAGAGAGAATAGAGGGGGAAGAGTGGTGGGGCTACCACCTCCACAATCGAACAAATCATGAAAATCGAATGCTGATTCTGAAACTTCACTTCACTAGTACTATTAGTAACTTCAAGCTTTTCACTCAGAAATAAAGAAAAATTAATTTTTCAAAAATTAATGAAGTTTTGACAAGGTTGACACTTGAAGACGAATATAATTGGTTTTCGGATGGAGAGGACGAACTTCCCAACATCATTATCGAAGGAGATGATAACATCGGAGGAGAAAACGATATATTCGATGACATCGTTGTACAAGAAGACGGTGGAGCCATACCTGTTGCTGATAATCTGCAGGATATTGATGGTGTAATCGATCCGGAACTTCAAGATGAAGGCATTGATGATGATCCAGCGACAGACAATGGCAACATTATAATAGGGAGCCGGTGGATGAACATTAGTGAGACAGTGGAAAATCATTTAGATCTGTACTGTGTGACGGACTCTCATGTGCGTATACGAACCATTAATGATAGCACCCACACATTATGTTGGTGTTGATTTAGATTTTATTCCCATCGAAATAGAAATTATGGAGGCGAATATGAACATATGGATTTACATTACACTTTATCGATGATGAAAATAACACAATCGTGGTGTGAATCTTGTGACAGACCTCTGACAAATTTTCGCCGTTTAGATGCGTGCATTATTTGTAACAATGTCCCTCCACAATGAAATGTTATAATAAATATCATTAAATTCATTATTGTTGTTGTTATTTTGATAATGAAACTTTTGATGGAGAAGAACAGTCCTTCTCAAAAAATATGATTGACACAATATACATGATAAACTAAAGTGTATTGTTAAGAGATCCAAGTTTTTATTAGTGAGTTGATTTCGAATATATCTTTCAATGATTCGTGGGGGAAGAGATAACATAGAGTAAATCGCTATGATAATCCAATTCTCAAACATTTTTATTACTAGTTAACTAGTTTAGTGATCCAATAATTTTTCTGAAAAAAGGGGTTGATTGGGTAACAGGATGAATTTTTCTCTTGAAAAAATAATTGTATTCTAGCCGACGTTTCGAATTTAATTGAATTCTTTTTCAGAGCTCAAAAAGTCGTTTTTTCGTGTTGATGATATTAATATTTTAAAACCCATCAGAGATATTTAAAAAATAAAAACCATCGCAACAACAAATTTTCGAGACAACAGTAACATAAAACGAGATGAAACAAACAAATGGCTTCATCTTTATAACCATCATTCATGTTTCACATTGAATTTTGTATGAGTAATCACTTTTCAATAAAATAATGTCTTAAGTTGAACACTGCCCCAAACCACGCAGTATTCCGTGTGCACCAACCAAATTATGTACACTCCGAGTACACTAGCGTAACCTAACCATTCTGATCATCATCGATAATGACTATTTCAGGATCTGGAGAATCAGCTATCACAATGATTTCTGGAGGGTCGGTGAATTGATTTTGTTCAATTTCTTCATCCAAATACGGTTCCATAAGGTCAGGGCTGGGTGAATCCCGAAAGATTGGAAAAAATTCATCCATTACAGTCGGCGTCGGAATCATTTGGGTCGTCAAATTGACCGAATTCGTCAGCGTCGAATTCGAATCCACGGTCCTCATCCAAATCAATTGTGGTATCTGAATGCCCATCAAAGTTGTCCACACCCGTTGAATTGACAATTTCAACTTGAATGTCTCCATAAGCTGAAGGAAAGAAATATGGTTCACTCGTAGAATCGGCTTCTTGCACAACCGGTGTTACTTGATTCATGATGAGGGAACAAGTGGTCTATTACTTGCAGTGTAAAGCTGAAAACCTCCAATCTTTCGACATTGACAATGAATGACATCGCAAATCCTTGGGATATTTTGTGTCATATGACCTCGATATATGAACACAACTTTGCGTGTCTCATGACCTTGTATTATGATCACGTCATATAATCTCAGACATGACGTTTTGATCCTCCAATAATTCGAGTTTAACATTGAATGACATCACAAGTCGCTGAGATATTTATATCTCATATGACCTTGTGTTATGAAATGTCATATACCCTCTGACATGGATTTTTGGACCTGGTTTTACTTGATTCATGATGAGGGAACAAGTGGTCATTTACTTGCAGTGTGAAGCTGAAAACCTCCAATTTTTCGACATTGACAATGAATGACATCACAAATCCTTGGGATTTTTGTGTTATATGACCTCGATATATGAACACAACTTTGCCTGTCTCATGACCTTGTATTATGATCACGTCATATAATCTCAGACTTGAAGTTTTGAAACCCCAATCATTCGAGTTTAACATTGTTATATATCTCATACGACCTTGTGTTATGAAATGTCCTATACCCTCTGACATGGAGTTTTGACCCTAACGATTGACTTTGTCTTCGACAGATAACTTTTGAATGTAATGAATGATAATCTCATTCTATTTCCTGAAAAATATCCATTGATTTGACTTCATCTGAGTCATCCATCTCAATATAGGATGTAGAATTTTTTGAACTGTGGCATTGATGACATTTAATAATCAATGCTTCAATCATTTTATTTTTTTCAGAGATCAATAATAACTTTCTAATTGTTACTTTCATTATTTTTTTAAACAATCAGATTTGCACTTTCAGTTATCACTAGAAAGTAACATAGATTAATATTATTTGTTTTTTGAAATAAAAATGACTAATCGTTACTTTTCCTTATTTATTTTTCAAAATATAAAATATACTTTTTTACATATAAATAGAAATTGCATTACATAACTTTATTTTGTTTTTTTTAAACTAAATGATTAACTGATACATTCATTATTCATTTTTTCAAATATGAATAATCAATTTTACACTTTTAAATATGACTAGAAAGTGACACTCACATATAACTTTATTAGCAACATACAAAAAAAAATATTTACAAAAGATTTATTGGGGGAGATTTCTCGACACGATTGCTCTGAATAATACAGATATGAAAATAATATAGAAAATATTATGATACATGAATTGCAAATGTATAGGGAAAGATAAAAATTTTTACAAGAGATGTAAGATGGAATTTTCATGTATCTCCTTACTGAAGATTTCCAATTGTCCGAATTGTAGGAGAAAGTTTTTTCATGTGAGCAAATCTCTCTCGTTGAGCTGCTCTCATTTGATCATATTCCGCTTTGAGGAGAGAAACTTGCCCTTCCAATTCAACAAGTTTTTCCCTCTTCGCTCTATATTCCGTTTCGAATCCATTGTAGACGTGATACATCTCTAAAAATTTTTCTCTCCTGGATCTCATGAATGAAAACCAATCGTCTGATTTTTCGAGGTCAATCGTTGGGGGCGGTGTGCTTCCTGGACTAACATCTTCGTATTCAGGAACCTGTGGAATGAAAGGATATGATGAACTAACATCTTGTCGCGTTTGAGTAATGATAATTACCTGATGGAGTGATGTAGAAGGTCCTGCTATGACTTCCATCTCTCTCACTTTTATCGACTTGTCTTTATCCTTTTTTTCATGTTTCATCTTGTGCCTCCTTCTAGATGGCGAGTTCGAGCTAGACTTTTTATACTTCTTCGCCTTCTTCATTATCTTTTCGTCACTCTCCCTTTTTTTCTTTTATGTCTCTCAAGGTCATCATCCGAACTGTTCTGAATGATTGAACTATGTGGAGATCCCATATTCTTCGAATAAGTTTCCTCCATCTCTAACTCACAACAGTTTGTGATAAGTTCGGAAGTGACTCATCAAGATTCTGGGTGTGAGTCGCCATTACATTATCAAAGTTTGAGGGATTGTCATTCAACTCCACATGGTTTGGATTGAATCCATTTAAAAATGATTTAGCATTGTGCATCTGCTGAATGGAAGTCATCACCGGTTGTAGTATCTCCCCGCCTTCGTGAATGATCACGTTCTGGTGGACAATTACATCTCTGCGCTCCACTTCACACATTTCTGATCGGTTTACAGAGCTTGATGGTTTTAATAAAGCTTCCTTTCAACAAAGACATGGTTCTGAAATCATAAAATTAATAGACAAAATAATATGATTAAATTTAATCAGCTAACAAAAACATTTTTTATCTTTCCTTTTCATCACCTTGATACAAAACAGTAGAAATCTTTCAGAAAAAGCAATTTCAAAAGAGGTAACTATATACGAAGAAGTAACTTTTAATCACAATGTACCCTTTCTAAAACAGCTACTTTCAAAAAAACATTGAATTACATGAAACAAAAATTACATTCAAATCAATTACTTTCATATGAACACTGAATCACACAAAAAAAATACTTCATAGAAAAACAAAAACTGTTCTTTACCAAAATTAATCTCATCTTAAAATATAACCTTTCCAGTTTGATATGAATAATATAGTAAGTTGTACTTACATCGAGATGAATTTTCAGCTGCTAAGATTTGAAGGCGTTGATGGAGTTGCTTCACCTGGCTGCTTTATTGAACTGAAAGGAAGGAATCAATTTCAAAAAAGAATTCTATATAACATCATCAAAATCTCAATGTCCTTTTAGAAACCTTCAAACTTGTTTCACACTTTTCAAGGTTGTATTACGTTCACATAAAAACCAATGACCTTTTAGAAACCTTCAAACTTGTTTCACACTTTTCAAGGTTGAATTACGTTTACATAAAAACAACTACTTTCATAGAAAAAAATGAAAAAAAACTCTGAACAGATAATTTTATATGAACACCGAATTATACAAAAAAAAATTGTAGAAACTGAAAATAAGGAATCAATTTCAGAAAAGAATTTCATATAACATCGTCACATCTCAACTTCCTTTCAAAAAGAAGTTGAGATGTGATTTTGTGATGTGATTTTTTTCAGAATATTCAAGGTTATATTACGTATAAATAAAATTCAAATAAACCAAACAACCTCTTGCATCCCTTCAATAAAATAATATTGTCAAGACACACTATAAAAGTTCCTAAATGTCCTAATGGACATTTCGATGGTTTCTACCTCAAATATGCCAATGCACTTCTGAACGTGCTAATGGATTTTATGGTCGAGGTTTCCAACCCGAAATTTTTTCTTCAAATAACCAAACATTCTTTAGCATCCCTTCAATTAAATGATGAGATTAACTAGACTACAGCACCATATAATCATAAAATATTTTCTCTCCAAAATAAACCAAACCAGCCTTTTGCATCTCTTCAATAAAAGAATGAAATTGTCTAGACATCAGCAGCATATAATGATAAAATATTTTTTCTCCAAATAACCAAACATCTTCTTGCTTCCCTTCAATAAAAATAATGAAATTGTCTAGACTTCAGCGACATATAATCATAAATTTTTGTTTGAATATCGATATTTTCTACCCACAAAGTTACAAAACTTAGATACTAAACATCCTTTTTTCCCAAAAATGCCGAATACGCGCAATTGTCAGTTTTGGAATAAAATATAATAATTGAATATTTTTTCTAAATCATATACTCGCGCTAAACTAATTGTGACTCAATCACTTATGAACATGAAATCTTAATTCTAATTTATAGTGACACCACAAACGATTTGAACGATTCTTTTCGTCAAATATGAATTTTCCAAAATGTTAAAAGCAAAAATTAGATTTGTAAAATTCAATTACTCGATTGCTCTTCCAATAATGCAATAAGGAGATCTAGGTTTTCATCGATGGTATTGTTGGAATCTTTCATTACTTCCAAAAGAATTCTCAGATTCTGTTGGGAGCTTGTTTGATAAAATTCAATATCGGAATGACCCCAAGGTAATGTTTTGGTAGTATTCGGAATTATGAATCTTTTATCATCGTTATGCGACAGAGCGACTTTATTACACATCAAAGTATAAATATCATGTAAATCACTTCTGAATACATTCATCTTTCGCAATATTGTTCCACCTGTTTCAACAATCCTAATGTAATCGTCAATTGAAATCCGATTTTTAATCACGGATTTTTTGACACCCTTAGCCCTTTTAATTTCATTTGACACACTTTGGATGTGATATGCTTTTGCTCCAGTCCCATGAAAACTAATAATAGTATCGTTTGGAAGTTCGTCTTTCATATTTCCAATTACCGACTTCTTAACTGGCACATGGAACTTATTATCCAACGCATAGTTGGAAGTGTCAAATTTATCAACATTCTCAATGATAAATTCATAAAAATTATCTGTCATTATTTTCAAAATCAAAGAGTCTGTGTCGGTGTAGAGAAGAGAAGAACGTGATCCGAAAATGTTTTTTAATAACATCATAGAAAAAGTCGTAAATGACAGTTTTCGACATATCCAATATACTAAACCCCAGATACAATGGTTTGTTGTAACAAACCTTAACTTTATCCATATGTATGACTACAAAGTCTTCTGCAATTATGGATAATGTTTTGAAATTAGGGCGAGCTATCAAAGCGTTGGCACCCATTCCTCCCCGTATAGATTCCCAATGTGTAACAATTCGAATGTCTCTCCTGTTATAAACATTTTCCAAAGTTTTCCCATAAATAGAGTTCACATTTAATTTGAAGTAATTCTTCTCAAACTTATTGGTGGCTTCATTTCTCAGTTTAGTATTTAAATCGATATATTTTTTCAACCATTGTGACTGATAGAATCTGAGAACTCTATGGGTTCTAATCAGTTTTAAACCATTACGAAGCGCCTGTTTCGAATTTTTATAATGAAGGATATATTTATTTTTATCATTCAAATTAGGTATAAGTGTTGGCTATTTTAGACTTTGACCCAGGCGGTATGATGCTTTCAACCAAAAATGGTAAGTCTGAATGTAAATCGTGCAATTCAACAGGGTAATGAATATCAACTTCAAGAATGTATCCTTGAGAATTATCATCTGGAATACTAACGCTATCTAGTTTACTTATTTCATCGGAGGTCAACCATGTGAACCCTCCAAAAGGTAGTGATTGAGACATGCTATGACCATACAGATTTGTTGCATCCAAATACATGATAGATGATGAAGCTTCATTAGGATTATAATTTGGAAGGAATTGATTATTTGCAATGTGCTGTCTCTCCGAACATTGACTAACACCGTCACGAATACCATTTTGAAAAAATGCACCATGTCTATATCAGTTAATAATTCCAAGTGGATGCCTGTATATTTCAACATAGCGTCCCAAGATAGACCTGGAGATGTGAAATAATGTGCAGGATCCAATTTATATGTACTCAAACTCATGTTTCTGAAATTTTCAAAAATATCACACAGTAATAGAACATCTGATTTTAAGTAAATATCAGAATATTCACCCAAATCATAACAATTGGATGTTTTCCATACCTGCTTCACTCTATCATAATCATTATCAGAAATATGTCTTTCATTCAGTTTGTCAAAAAAGTCCGCCTTTGATGGTATAGATGAATAATTCAATGTATCTAAAGAATCGATGAAACTGTATGGAAAAACACCTTTCTGTCTCATAAGTTTAAATTTATCATTTTCTGGAAAATGTTTTCTCATTTCCACAAAATGTTCTTATCTAAATTATCGCCCAACTCTTGAAGAGATGCACTCATAAATTTGAAACTATCAATGAACCTTAATTTCAAAAATACTTTTTTCATTTGGCCATTTCGATTTAATTTGTTTTCCATAAATAAATGTTTCGTGAAAGAAATATATTTCTCTTTAGTTTGAGCGATGACGTCAACTTTACTTTTATTGGTGCATAAATCTTTTATGAACAAGTGACAGTCATACCCACTGAGATTATGGAAAATGATCGGAATGAAATTGGGCAATTTGAAATTGAGATTACATATGGAATGTGTAACACCGGTTTTTTTTCCTGTCAGATGACAATGGTCATGAATTTTAATGTCATTCTCTTCGAATGTCTTTCCACATATAGCATTATTGAAATCATTTTCTTCCTCGAAGGGTTCATTGGAACGATATTTTTCAAATATTTGTGATATATATATATTGGTGACGTCAGCCTCCAACTTTGAAATAAAAAATTTAAATGCATCAGCCCCTCTATACAATACGAATTTTGAAATTGAATCATCAAAAGAGCACTTTATGAGATATGAGAAAGCGTATGGTTCATGAAGATAGGTTCGATTTGTGAAAGACTTAGCAGGATTTGGCTCATTTGTGTGCAGTGGTTTAAGAATTGATTCCAAATCATCGTAGATGGTGAATGGAACTCTCAACTGTTTCTCAATATTTTCAAATTTCAAAATATTCTCAGGTACGCATTCACCGAATTTATCAACTCTGAATTTTGTGGTTGGTGTTGTTGTCGATATGTGATTACAATCATTCAATTGATGTTGCAATAAACCCCACTCATTACCAAATTGTAATAAACAACCATCACAGAAATATTTTCTATGTTCATGTGCAGATATTTGAGATGGTACTTATCTCGATAAATCTTTAATCCAACAATAATGACTGTTACCAGAATCATCCATTATATTCAGCAGATTCATATGGCTATTAAGTCTACGTTTCGAATAGTGTAACGGGCCTACAACATCATATGAAACTTTACCGTTTTTGAAACATTTTTCTAAACCATAAACATTGATAGAGCAATCTTTCATAATCTCAAATTTAGGAATATCTTTTAACTTTACTGGAAAATCCATACCTGCCACATTCAACACGGTAGAGAAGTGAGGATATAATGAAATTTCACAAACTCTCAC